TCGCGTGGAACTCTAAATTGTCAAGGATGGTGAAGTGTGGACAAGAGCTATCAAGAACGGAGGGTGCTGGCAGATAGCCCTGGTCCACCCTATTCACGTCTCAAGACCACTCTGCTTAAATTCGTGATGTGTCCGATAAGAAGTTAGAATGATAAATGAGCTTGAGCTTAAGGTTTCGCGAGCCTCGCTACGCACACACAGGGAAGAAGACAGCAACCCCTAACTTCAGGACGTCGTGCTCCCTTTAGCGATATCCTGCTGAGTCCACGGTTTAAGATATTTTTATTATATCCCCCGCTGATGATTTATTAATTCTTTCCAACTGAACCTATGCTCCCGAGTAGCATTCATCACAAGTGGCTCTCGTATTTTTGGATAATTTGTGACTTTGGGAATTTTCTTAGAAAACGTACGACGTTAATTACACATTTGACTTTCGATATGACATTTAATTGTCTGACTTAAATATCCGTTGTTTTTAGCTAGAAACTATTTTTAAGACCAGTTTTAAATATTCGATTCCCTGACTTAAACACTTATTGTCCTTAATTAAGAAAAAAAGTAGAATAAACTATTTTTATTGTTCTGTCGAGATACAACAGAAAAATCCACTAAAGCACAAGTATAATATTATTATTATTTTCGCACGAAACAAGTAACAGAAATTACCACGCAAACGATCCCGGAGGAAACCATCAAACGAAGAGACGAAACACGGCCTAGCACACGTTTCACCCTAGCGAACAGCCTTCGTTTCCGTTCAAGTTCAACGCGTGTGAGATATTCTCTGTCCTGCGGAGCCAGACTCGCGCTTTAATCACGTAATTGGACAATATTTCCTCGATGGTCGGTGTTCTGTTCCGGCGGTCAACGGGGCCAAAGAGGCTTGAAGAACAAGCAGCCAGCAGCCCCGCGGCGAGGGAGCAACGCGGAGGCAGCGTTGGAAAGCGGATAAGGCCGCGCGTGACGGTGTACGCGGCATTACGGCGTAGCCTGCTTCTAACGACGTAACTCGTTGACGAGATTATAATCAACCGGCAGACATTAAAGCTGCAGGGCCGTTGGTTGGCCGCTTCTCGTTGTTCAACTTCTCTCGCCAGGCTGCCTAAGAACTGCGTTCAACGCGATCGTGCGTACGTACGCGATACGTGGAACGGACTGGTGGACGCGTGTAATTGTACGCGCGCGCGCGTGTGTGTACGTGTGTCTTGAGTACGGAGATAACGGCCGTACGTTCGCCAGAGTGGCTTTGTGCATCGGCCAGAGGTATCCTGCGAAACCGAGGGTTTGCGCGGGCTTTTCGTTAATCGCGTCAGCCCACTCGCCTTTGATCCTGGCTTACCCATAAACATCCTTTTATTGAGCCTTCGTTAGGGGGCATCGAGCGAAACTGCGGAGATGACATTGTAATCGCTGCACAAAGGACGGGTTAAATAAGAGAGAGAGAGAGAGAGAGAGAGAGAGAGAGTGGGGGGAAAAAGACGAAAATCAACAAAATCGCCGAGTGAACACCGAGAGGAGAGAAAAGGGTGCAGGCTTCCAGCGTTCGTCTCGTGTTTTGATTAAAAACTTTTCAAGGGCTCGGCGTGTTCGGCTAAATAGCTCGTTAATTCGGCCACCTCGCCTATCGAACTTTCCTCTGTCTATCGAATGATTAATCTCGTTCCGATCGGACGATGGGACTGCATCGATTATCACCGGGCTTGCTGGAAGCTTGTGGCGAGCCCTCGCGATGCTCGACGTTTGTTAGGTAACAGACGAGACGAGAATTCTTGAATTTGTCGATGGTTCACCGAGTGACTCGATGCCAAATGCAGTTCTTAACGTACAGTTGAAATACTGTAATACAGCATTTCTAATATTTCAATTCAATCGGCCTGATCTCCAAAGGAAACAAAGACTAGAGGTGAGCCGTTACGATCACTTATCCAGCGCCTCGTTGAACCGATTTCCAGCGAAATTCGAGCGATTTCTTCCCGCCGTGGTGCAGAAGAAAAAAGAAAGGGGAGGGACGGAACCGCGAGAAGCAAAGGATAGCCGATTAATCGTTGCAATTCCTTCAACCGTTCATCAATTCCGGGCTTTCTCGTTACGGGCACGCCGCGTCGACCACGAGATACCTCGCGATTCAGCTAGAAAATTACAAAGCCGGGATCAGAACGGTAGCTTTACGGGTCGGTGGGGGAGGGGAAGGGGGGGGGGGTTGGGTTAGGTAGAGCGGGAAGATTACAGGTAAGCGCATGCATCGGTCCAATTCGCCGGAAGCGAGGCGCAACGACGTTACAAACGAAAAAGTTTCGCCTCGTTGTACGTTCGTCTTTTTCACTGTCTCCCATTCGTGGTAGGTAGAGATGGGCTCGAGTGTCTCGCGTTCGATTTGAACAGTCTCTTCGGTTCCGACAAAATGTTACAAGCTGCTCGAATATTCAGTCATCGTTCATTTTAGCAAAATTGCTTCAGGCACGCGTTGCCAACCGATGAAGGTACTAATTTAACGTAATATTTAATTTAATCCGTAACTGTTAGGTTCAGGACCAAGGCGAGTTGACACGTTTTTACTTGGAATTTAATATTCTTTCGATGAAAAGAATAATACGGTTTAATTCAAGAAAATAGAGACGAGACCCTGAACGCTTCGAAACTCCTCAACACGCATGTATTATTTTAACAATTTTTCATTGGACGCATAATTTAAAAGTTATTTCAGGCGTGTGTGTTAGTTCAGAGAATCCTCGAACGTTATTGGTGGAACGTGCACACGTCAGACATACGTCGTGTATGCTGATTGCCACGATTTGAATATTATTCGCGAAAGTTTCGGATCTTGTGCACGTTAAATTAGTCGAGTGTAGAGAGTAGAAGTTGCCACGATCTAAACAAAGTTTGAAGTGTCTATTATACACACATGTATATGGTACTCGTTGCGTATTATATATTATAAAATGCATTCATTGAACACGTTGCAATTCATGAACACATCGTCGAAATGAACGCGTTGCAAGTGGCACTCACATCGAAACATTTTATTTTCAAGAAACACGTGAAACGTTACGAAACTTAGCGTTATAGCGTCAGATAGTGTTAGCGTTGTAGTATTATAACGTTAGATATTCGATGTTAGTATTAGAATTACACGGGCTTGCGATCGGAATTCGAATCAGATGCTCGACTCGACCCCATCTCTGCGCAAAGACTCTCTCTGCCGTTCTCTTTTTCCGATTTCTAGGCTGGCGAACGCGGTTGTCGCCGAACGATGGGACCGGAAATACAGCCGCACGGGCGCTGTACCGCCCTCGAAAGTTTTTATCGCGCGGCTCAAGCCTCGGGTTTACAACTTCCTCTTCTGGCCTGTTCTTGGGCGAGGGCGAGGCCGGTGCCGGCGCTAACTCGAAGCACCAGATCGTAAACTCGCGAATCAGACTGCGGGGATCCGGATCGTCGACACCGTGGATCGTCCTCGAATAATCGAAAGACTTGTTAGAGAAGTGCTCGGCTCGTTCGACCGGGGACTTTTGCACTCGTGCGCCCAGTAAATTGTCGAATATTCCCGAGGAAGATGGACCGGGATGAACGTTTGTCTTTCCAACAGCAGTTCCAGGATTTTGCTTGAGCGCGAGACTTAAATTGCCTTCGAGAGAGTGTTTCTGGATTTACGGCGAACGGTCGCGTGATTTGTGAGTAAATCAGCCGGGGAACGAGGAATTACGTTTTGACGGTGATTTTTATTTCAATTAATTTCGAGAAAGAAATCGTACGAATTTGCTCTCGTTCGTATAAATTCAATTTTAACATTTATGTTTCACTCGGTTTCGCAGCGAGACGAGGAATGGAAAATGATTAAACGCTCACTTCGTTCCTTTCTTTCTTTCTTTCTTTCTTTCTTTCGTGAGCGCGCGGAGCTTGAACAACAATACCTCAATAACAATAGCAATCAATCTTGCACCTAGAGCGCGCAGCGATGGACAACGCGATCGACCGGAATCGCTCAGCGACGATTTAAAAAGCAAAACAGCGATGAATTTTTCTTTGCAACCACCCCCATAAATCTCGTTTGCGTGGCCCGTTTCTCCCGGATGTGAGAACGCGCGCGGTTCGTTCCACGGAGGATTCGCTGCTCGCCTGTATTTATCTCGGGCTGAACGAATTTGGATCGTCATGGGGGCGAACGAAGGGCGGCACGAAGCGGAGCAGATTTTTATGAAGCAGATAATGGCGTCTGCAATTTAAATCCCGGCCAGAAGGAAAAGAAAAAGAAGAAGAAGAAGAAGAAGACGAAGAAGAGGGAAAAGAAGTTATAAACTTCGGGCTTAAGCCGCCGCGATGTTTCCGACCTAGCGGCTGAAAACCTTCGTAAAAGTGGAGGACGCAATAAGAATGACACGCCTCGAGCGTTCTTCCGCGCGGCATCGCGCGACACGTCGGTCTCACTGTCGCGAAAAAATTGCTCGTTTCGTCATTGACCCAGCATGTCGTTTGTACGAAGTGGCGTAAGTCAGGTTTGAACTTCTTTTTCCCCTTTTTGTCCACTTTCATTGAGATAGCTCGGCGTAGAAAATGGACGGTTATGACGTTGCCCCTTTGGCGATTGTGAAACACTCAGTTCAGTGTTTCAAAAGTGTTTCTTTTTTTTTTCTTTTTTTTTTTAAGAATAAAATCAGTCTATCGATGAATTTTCGAACGTAGCATTGAAATTGTTTAATATTTTGACAAAAAGTATTAATCACTAAGTTTGAATAACATTTGAATAAAATAATCGTTCGAAACATTATAATTTAGTCCAATATGATCATATTACAACTCTTTTTGTAATCGTATTGGTAGAAATTAAAAAGAATTATAGACACAATTGTACTTTACTAGCGGAGTAAATTGTAAAGTACAAAGTACAATTGTTGCAAATTGACAATGAGTGCCCGATTGTCGAAATGTATTTTTAAAGTCAAAGAATATATACATATACATTTCGACAATCAAACGCTCCAACGCCGAAACGCTTTTAAAGTCAGAGAACGCAGCTTACCCTCTCCCCCGATAAATCTCCAAAAATATTTCGCCGGTTGTTTCGTATCCAATTACCCCGCGTTAAAACCGCCCATAAATAAGTGAAACAACTTACCCTACTTTCCATTCCTCCGCCCTTGCCTTGCCGCTGAATTCTTCGTTGCCACATCCCTTCGTTGTACAATGACCAACTTTGGAACGTCCACGTAAAAGAGGCTGGCGGCCGCGGGACCGCGTTACGACCTGAAAAAGTTGAACGGCAATAAATATAAGCCGGGGGAGGGGGATGGAATGGGGAGAAGCCGCGGAGAACGGCGAATCTATATCACGCTGGGACCTGTGACCTGTGACGATCGACCAGGAAGATCAAACGGTCTCGGTCGCTTCCGTTCAAGGATCAACGAGCATACACGCGCGCGCTACCCAAGGAAACTTCCTCGTCTCTCCTCCCCCCTCGCTCTCCTCGAGCTGACGTAAGCGGTGTAATTACCGTGCACTCTGTTTCCACGATCCTGACCTCGCGACGCGTGTATTCGTCGTTCCGCTTCTTCTTCCTTCGTGTCCTCTCTTTTTCTCTCTCTCTCTCTCTCTCTCTGCTCGTTTACGGACGCGAGAACAGCCCCGGCCCGGAGGGTGAAAATACAAAGGGGCGGTCGTCGGTGCACCGAATTTCAGAGTTCGCAGTTTATCTTGCCGCATTTGCAGACGTACTGGCTAGACGGGGAAAAGAGAGAGAGAGAGAGAGAGAGAGAGAGAGAGAGAGAGAGAGAAACAGGGAGGGTTGAGAGAGCGAGGGAAGGAGAAACGAGGCGAAAGGGTGGCTTTGTTCGCCCTGTGTACCGAGGGAGGAAGTAAGGACGAAAACGAGAGAAAGAAAAAGAGAGGAAGCTATCCGCGGTGATTGCTCTAGTGGGTGTGCAAATTGCACCGGCGGAGGCCGGTCCCGGCGAGGAAAATTATTTTTAAGCGACCAGAAAGGGGTGGATATTCGGCGAAAGTGATGGGGAAAAGCGGTGACGTCGCTGATCGATGAGCTCTGTGTTTCTAGGCGAGTGATAAACGCGCTTCTTCGGCGAGAACTGCCATTATGGGGTTTTATGGACTTGATGTTCTTCGTTGGAATAGGTGGACGAATAAAGTGTTTCTTGTTGAGAAGCTGGTGTCGTTTGGCAATCGATCCTCTTAGCTTCTTGCAACACGATCTACACTTTATCTCAATAAATACTGTATTTATTATAACTATATATATATTATATTAATCGTCCGAGGGTATTATAATTAATATATCCTCGGACGAGTTACGCAACGAGAGCACCGACGGTTCTCAACATTGTTCGTCTTCCTGAATTTCAATTTTTAACACGTTTCATGATAATCGCAAGTTTCATCCGCGGAAAATGTACCACGTCTACAGACTGTGAAAACACTTTAACAGATCGGAAAGTAATCATCGAACAGTCACCGGTGAATCTCGATTAACGGTTCTCAACATTGTTCGTCTTCCTGAATTTCAATTTTTAACACGTTTCACGATAATCGCAAGTTTCGTCCGCGAACAATGTACCACGTCAACAGACTGTGAAAACACTTTAACAGATCGGAAAGTAATCATCGAACAGTCACCGGTGAATCTCGATTAATCACAAAAGATTTCACCCTCTCGTATCGGTTTCGTGCTACGCCAACGTGCACACCGTACACCGTCTCTCTCGTCTCCCGCGAACGCGAAACGCCTCTCATCGAATTTCCACGTCGCGATCTCCCGACCACGGCTGCGGAGATTTATATTTTCTGGCGGTTTATCGGGCTTCCCCTTTTGTGCTGGCCCGTCCATTCGACCCCATTCTCGAGGACTGGCACACGAGCCGTCGCCGAAAGCGCGTTCGGCGAAAGCACCCTCCTCATATAAATAGCCCCCGTAGAGCGTAGAACCGGCGTGACAATAACGATTCAACCGTCGTTCAGATGGAACCGCTTTTTATCGCCGGCTGCAGTTGCGCGCTCTATTTCGGGAAAATCGGGAATAACGATTCGACGCGCCTGTCGTCCCTTTCTCACCCGTCAACCACTATCACACGCTTCTCTCTCTCTCTCTCTCTCTCTGTCTCTCGGCTCTCTATTCTCTCTGGAATCCTTTCCCTTTCCGACTCCTTCTTGAGTGGCCCCCTTATCTGCTGGCAATGATCCAGCTCCGTGTTATCGGATCCCTTTGACGCCAATTACGCGATTTTTCAAAATGACGACACCGCCCGCCACCCTCCAACCCTGCAGCGGACCTCAGCGGCGTCAGTTGCCGTGAACAGAGGGTCGAAGATGTAAGAGGTACGTCCGATCGAACGACAAGTGTTCGTTCATTCGATATCAAGCTCGAGGGTGGCCCGTTTGTTTATTGGTCGTTTCGACAGGTTTCCTCGCAGGACGTTGGAACTTTCAGGGGTCCTCGGATCACTTTCCTTCCTCGAATCGTTCGAGCAAAGGTGGCTTTCATTTTTCTTCGGCGAGTTAATATGGCACGCGTGGTGAGTTGCGAGGAGGAACTAGAAATTAGCCTTGAGAATTTTATTTCGTCCGCTTCACGAACGGGAAATCTCTGTCCTACTTGTTCCATAGAAGTTTTGTTCACTTATCGAGAGTGTTAGAAACAAACGTCGGTAATTCGTCGTTTGAAGAGATGGACAACGAGCGGGTAGAGAGACAGAGAGGAGGCAAGGGAAGACTTTCATATATATTACAGCTGTAGTCAGTCGGGAGAAACCAGTAAAAGATCTGTCGATAAAGAACCTGAGAAGAGTATTAGCATAGAAGCGCGTAGCTCGTTGTCCGTAAAAGTAACACCGTTAAAAGTAAAAGTACAACGTAGAAATTAAATTATTGCGTGTGGTGTTCGTTCTGTCGTGTTAAAGAATTATTAAGCTGTTATACGAACCATTCATTTCTGTACTGTACCACGTGTTTTATGTGAAATATATATTCGTACAAAGTTAATAACTTGTGCTGACTTTAGACACATTAAATAATAAAACCCAACAGAGAGAGAAAACTTGCTCTCGTCTGTGCTGGAGGAGAGCTTTCTCGCCAGTTATAAGGATTAGATTGTTCGTCGAAAACGTAAATACGTTACTTAATGAGACAATCAGCTATGTAATCCCGAACGAGCAAGGAATTTTAAAGAACAGATTATTGTTACTCTCTCTCTTTCTCTGGCGGAGTTTGATAAAGCAGCCTCGGCAAACGAATAGACATTGGAAGTGACAAGACAATATCCCGCGGAATTCTCCTCTCAGAATTGCAGTATCGTTACCCCCCCTTGGCAAACTTTGACCAACAAACAGATAACTGAGAGTAATAAGCTTAATTCTCGCGAAAACAAAAGAATCTCCTTTATCGTTAATACTTCTTCACGACTCTGTTTAATCCACTCTTCCTAAGAAACGCAGATGAGAGAACCGAGTAACGAACAGAATCCTCGAGAGGGCGTCGTACTTCGTGATAAAAACCGGGGATTTCTTTTTCGAGAGTCCTGATTAATCAACTTGACTCTATTGCAGAATTTCGGAGGAAGGCTGTGATTTGGCGTGTCGAAAGCATGTCGTTTGGCTCGCGGGGCCAGAGGGTTGCGTCTGCAAAGACGCCTGTCGGCTGCGAGTCGTCTAATTAGTTTCACGCTAACGAGGAAGAAGGCCGCCGCTTTTTTTCGCTTGAAGCATCGAGGCTAATTTCGTATTTAACTTTCGTACGCTCGCGAGTGTCATTCAGACGATCGCGAGGATGCGCCACCGGGTATCTTCTAGCGATTCGTTCTGTCGTGTCTCCTTGTTGGGCTAGCCAGTTTCTGAACATTTGCGCGTTGCACGTTGCGTGCGACGTAAAAGATTACGCGTGGAATACGCGGACACACGTGCGTGGTCGTTGGAAGATTTACGAGGTGATCGTGAAAGACGAACGAGTTTGGGAGAGGAACGGCGCCGAGGAGTAAATTTCGAAATCTAGCTGCGTGCGTTTATTGTACGTCGTAAAAGTTGTTTAGAAACTGGTTGTTTCTATTCTCGTCGCTCGCCCCGCGACCGTGTTTCCCAGTTTGGGAATCATTTGGCGATCGCCACGCCGAGGTGTGTAAACATAAATGATATTTACGACTGTTTTATGACTGTCTTGTAATTGATGTGAAACTTCTCTAGAATTTTTTGTCACAAACTGTTACTCCCCTCTTTTGTGAAATGTACGTTTTTCGTTCAGACATAGACTGCGGATACAGAAAGATACGGAAATAGACCGATCGCGGATGTAGTAAAATATCTTATAATTCGTCACTTATAAGCAGTAACAATGTAATATATATTAGAAGCTGGAGAACGTTGTTCGTGTTACAAATAATCTTCGATATTATGCTCCTACGAAGAAGTATGGAGAGAAGTAGTTCACCGTGTAGAAAGAAAGTAAAAGAGCGTAGAAGAACTTGAGACTGAAGCCGCAAGTAGTAAGGGGCTTGGTAAGTCAGACATGTGGCGCACTCGACAGGTCAGTTCTACTTACAACTTTTGAAGTATTATATCGTGGCCGGTTATACACTTCGAAGTCATGAGACCAGCGAACGCGCCATTTTCTACTCCAACGATTAACATTTTTATTCACGAGTTTATTTCGTAAAGATATTCTACCGCAATAAAATTAATACGTAACAGACGAAACAAAGATATGTTCAATAATATCAAAAAGACGCTGAAATTTTATAAATATATCGTTGAATTAACATTTGTGTTAAAACAATCCCATTGCATTTGGATGGATGCGCATCGCCTGCATCCGTTTCAGTTTTAAATTCCAAAGCCTGCCAAAGGATTGCTATTCTAATAAATACGTCATTCACAGTATATCTGCCAACGCGCAATTATGCAAAAATTTCTTGCTTTTACCAACGATACGTTCAAACAAACTGCACAGCATCAGTGTGTTCTCCGCGTCGCACCTACTTCAATTTTAAACTCCACCCTCCCAGAGGAGACCACGAGCATCATCCATTCTCAAAAATCCTGCCTTTAAAATTAAACCTCGCGTCTGGATTCCCAAACCGGTACTCCAGCCATCTCGCTTCTCCGAGACTTCCATTCCCGGCGACACGGGAGGAAAAAAAGAAACGCGAGAGAGAAGCCAGAAAATGAATTCTCTCTCTCCCTCTTGTTCTGCGAGGTCGAGGCCGAGGTCGAGGCCGGGGCCATTCAGAACGAACGATTTAACCGGAAGTA